TATATGCCTGGTTACTCTCAAAAACCATCGCACAATTCTTCTCACTGTTGCGATCACCTGAAATCTTGTCTCTTGACCAATAACAATCCCGTAAAGAGGCATTGCGCTTCCAGTCAGACTTGCAAGCCAAACCATCTTCAGAAGTAAATGTATTTCCCAAAAAACCGATGGAAGTTAACTAAATACTGAGGTCATTTTATTTATCGCTTTTTATTTATCTCCCGGCAAAACAAGACTTTTGATCAAAGATCAGTTCTCAACAACCAGCCGGAAGTAATTTTGGCGTGAAAGCGAGGTTTTGGAAAAAGCTCAACAACTGCTACCGGTTTCTGGTTCCTGTTTGTCGCACGGTTTTTGAAAGGATTCACAGGAAAACATGAATAATTGATGTCTCACTCAAGACGCAGATTTATCGATCAGTCCGGTCGAAAAACGGGGTGGTTAGAGGCCGTTTGCCGCAAAGAAATGAGTCCCAGTTCTGGGTTCGGGCGAGCGAACTTCACCCTCTTTCTGTCTCTGTGATGCGGGAAATTATTAACGTTCAAGTTGGCCAGTGTGGAAACCAAATTGGTTACAAGGTGGTTTAATGTTGTGGCACTAACTTGCGTGTAGCTACGAAAATGCTAGTGACGTTATTTCTTTTGTCTGTGGGTTAATTTACACGTCGTAACCGTGTATGTCTCGTCTTATCGTAGCTTTGGGAAATTCTCTGCGCGGAACATGGAATAAACCAGGAGGGTATTTATGATGGAAACTGCAATTCCCAGTTGGAGAAAATTGATGTTTACTTTGCCGAGGGTGCCGGTGAGTGTTGAATAGCAATAGTTTTATGTCGAAGCGTTCTCATTAAGTTCTCTTATCGTGGTTGAATTCTTTCTGTAAACCACTCTGAAAAATCTCGAATAAAACTGCGTTAAATTTGCGGTTCTATCGTTTTTCACCCTCGCAGGCAATCGGTTTGTACCGCGTAGCGTCCTCGTCGACTTAGAGTCTGGCACGATGGATTCGCTCCGGTCCGCTTCGTTTGGAAAGGTCTTTCGACCCGATAATTTTGTTTTCGGTAAGTCTGGTAAACGTTTACGTTATGTAAATAAGTTATTTAATTAACGCTTCGTCAAAGGGACTGATCTTCTTTGCAAAACTTTAGCTTAATAATGCCGCTGTTGGCTGTTACCATGTTAATAAAGAAATTGTGTATACAATGTTTGCATTTATCTCGCATTTATCTCTAATTTTCAAGTGGTCGTTGCCTGAGATTTTTTCCTAAGTGAGTATTTTCATGACTATCTTTTCGGCCTTATTTCATCAGACTGGCGTGTTGCACCGAATTTTCGAATTGAAATTAAACTGTTCCATGTTTAATCTGACCGAAATATTTGCTTTCTTTGCGGAGAACTTTTTCTAATTTCCAATATAAACTTCCCGTTATTTTCCCCCTATTTTATATTGTTTTCTCACGGCCCTGTTTATGTTTGTTGTTTCGCTGACTATATATTTTAAGCCATTTCTCCAGTGCAATACTAGCACCTTGAATATTCTGCTCTGCATAAACTGATGCGGAAATTTCTGACAAATATTCCCAAAGCTTCGCTGTTTTCAATTCGGCATTCCGTATAATACATGGCTAGATGAAGTGTATTTTTCTTTTTGCCATCTTTCTCACACTGCGGAACGCCGAATTGCTTCGTAAACACAAGCATTACTTTCCCATATCCCTAAATTTCATTGGCAAAGCTGAGTAAACAGAAATTTTTTGGAAGAAAGCACCAATATTAGCGGTTTTTATTGAAGTGATTAGCTTTGTCCAGCTGTCACCGCATTTATTTGTTTCGTCATAAGCATCACTAACTTTTCATCAATTTGCATTTATGTTTAGCGTGCAACAACATTCTTTGGAACGTTCTAGCTAGTGGATGCAAAAAGTTCACGACCTCCTTAATGCGATATTAAACACCTCGAAGAGATATTTTTAACGAAACTGATTGTCCTGAAAACTCTTGCTGTTTTTTAGACCCATTGATCCGTTTTTACTCTCATGTTCTACCTCAAGGTATTCCAAAGCTCATTATGGCGGGACATCTGGCGGTTTAAACATTTAGGACCATTTAGGGACACGCAAATGCTTAATTGAGCATGAAAGCCACTGTGAATCGAGTCAAGGTGAAACTGGGTGACTTAAAATTGATCAGATCACTCCACCGACCAAAATAGTTTGTTTAACGAATTCTTCACAATCATGGGAAAGAACGCCCTTCCATTGATGAATTAGGTCGGGCAGGGCATAATCGACTTGTCTCCAACTGAGCTCAAAAGTTTGTTTAAGGAATGAGAATTTTTAAAAACCCTTTATTGAAGACAAAACGTCAAAATCAATTTAGCATTGTTATCCGCTTCAACTTAATTGCTTTCTAATTGATACGTACCGGATAAATAGCTTTTCTTCGCCAACCCTAATAACCATTGTTATGATGTTAACACTTAGCTTCACATGATACACCACGAAAATGCTTTTTACCTCGGCCCATTTTTCACTCTATTCCTCGAGATAACCATTGTATCCCTACAGTGGGTCGACTAGAGACGGTTAGGTTTAGTTTTATTGTCATTGCTGCAAGGGAACAGTCTGATTGGTTGGTTTAATTGTGTGATGCTAACACTGTAGGCCTAATGTTAATGTCTAAGAAATAGTCGAGATCTCAGTTATCAATCCTTGATAGATCAAACGTGAGACAGGACCAATACTGGTGAAAGGACAGCTAAGTTCGATTGCAGCAGGTCAAAATAATAAACTTGAGTTTTAATTCATTTTAATTAACACGGCTTCAATGTAAATCAGTGTTAAAGTTTACCTGTTTGAATTCTGTGGTTAATAAAGTACTGACATTCATTCATTTACATTTAAAAACTCTCTTTAATTATTTCGCAATTGTGATCATAATACTTGAAGAGGTCGTCTCACTGCCATCAGTCTTGACCGCGATCAGATGACGGAAATTTTCCCAAAAAAACAAAACTAAAAGAAAAGTGAGAAAAATACTTCAAAGATAAGGTTATCAATTTTACTATTCAAATATCCTGCTGATTAACCAAAATGTTTGGAACTTTACCAAAAAGTTCGAAGTGTTTTGTATGAAGGTTCCTGCAGACTAGCCGGCGCCTTTGTCAAAGCAATTTTTTTCGGCTGGGAAAGTGTGAAGCATTTGAAGATCAAAGAAACTCGTTTACTCCAGAGAAAAAATGATGATATATTTACACTCGTGATCAGCAACTGCTTTATATGTCCTTGTTCACATTCTACTTCATCGTGAATAAAAGAAAACCGTGATAGATAAAAGCTACTGCCTGAGACATTTGACCACGATGAAGATCAAACTTTCTCCTGCTTTGTCATTACGACCCTCGTGTTTAGACAGATAGATCGAGTAACAAGTTAGTACCTAATTGTTAGTATTTTCCTCTATCACAGGCGAAAGTGGAGCAGGGAACAACTGGGCCAAAGGGTTTTACACAAATGGATGTAACCTTCTGGAGGAGGTCTTGGACGCGGTTAGAAAAGAAGCCGAGGCATGTGACTCGATCCAGGGCTTCCAGGTTGCGCATTCTCTGGGAGGCGGTACGGGGTCTGGGCTCGGTACGCTGATACTCTACCATCTACAAGAGGAATACCCCGACCGGATTCTGAGTGCTGTCAGCGTTTTCCCGTCTCCGAAAGTTTCCGAGATTGTCATTGAACCTTACAACGCCACTTTAGCTGTTCATCAGTTGATCGAGACCACCGATGAAGTGTTTTCGTTCGACAATGAAGCGCTGTATGATATTTGTTTTAGAACGCTTAAACTGGATACTACCACGTATTCGGATTTGAATCACATTATATCCACCACCATGAGCGGTGTGACTACTTGTCTTCGTTTTCCCGGACAGGTGGGTCGAGACTAAGTTCCAGGGGGAGTCTCTTATTCTCATCGTGCCACGCAGGACACCTGAGGTCATACTTAGGCAGTGCTCCAGGGGGAGCACTCTATTGTCATATGGAGGGAGAGATGCAAACCACTGTAATGAGGGGAAGGGTGCGATTGGTAAAAGAATAAGCTGCATGCACTTTCAATGTCCAAGTTAATTACTGTAATGACAACGGACATAAGTGACTCAGCAATTTCGCTCACGTTTTTTTTTATTTCACAATTGATTCCTGCTTTAAAGACAGCCTACGTCACAGACAGCCTAAATCGCCAGCAACGAGGGTTTTGTGACACGTCCGGCTGTGCGGCAGTGCGCAGGCTTGCTTTAGCGTGCATTATCGACTTATGATACACGTGGCAAGTTTGGACTGAGAGTATCAAAGTAGTGTGAATCACCTAAGGCGCCTTGAGGCAACTCTAGCTCACCTTCGCGAGTGCTCTACAAACTTCCCAAGTGCATCATAAATCGATGATGCATAGCTCAAAGCATGAATTAATTGTTTTATAAAATTGCCAAAGTAAATTGCGAAGAGAAATTAATTTTGCACACTTAATATGGATTATGATGCACGTTCAGGTATAACGGCTTTGCTAGCTGAGTTAGAAATATTAGTCTCGGCCATTACTTACTTTGTACTTAACCCCATCCCCTCGCTCCAGCATCCACAAACTCGCGCCAGTTTTCCCTGCGCTGGGCCAACTGGGTGATCAGTGTATTCCAGTCTTTTCCTGCTGCTCTTAACTCTTAATGTAATGACCTTCTCCAGCTTTGTTTTGGTCGCCCACGTTTCCTTTACCCTAGGGATTCCAGAATAGGTAATGGCCATTGCTTCAGGTAAATTAACTTTTATAACTCTTCCAACTAACTTGGCCTTTTTCTCTAGTTAAATGCAGACATGCGCAAATTGGCCGTGAACATGATTCCCTATCCTCGCCTTCACTTCTTCATGCCTGGATTTGCACCGCTGACCAGTAGACAGTCACAGACATTTCGTAATCTGACAGTAGCTGAGCTGACTCAGCAGATTTTCAACGCCAAAAACGTTATGATCGCCTGTGATCCTAGAAATGGTAGATACCTTACATACGCAGCGATGTTTCGCGGCAAAAAGCTATCGATGAAAGAAGTCGAGGATCAAATGGCAAGCGTGCAGGACAAAAACTGTGGGCATTTCGTTGAATGGATTCCACATAACGCCAAAGTTGCGGTTTGTGATGTTCCTCCACACGGAATGAAAATGTCGGCAACTTTCATCGCTAATAACACAGCTATTCAAGAATTATTTAGACGACTCAATCTGCAGTTTAGGGTCATGTATAGGAGGAGAGCGTTTCTTCACTGGTTTACTGAAGAAGGGATGGATGAAATGCAATTCACTCAGGTAAGAAGCAATTTTGCTTTTGAAATGATTTTTCATAAACTACCTTGAGTTTGAAGCATGCATCAAAATGACGATCCATACTTGCATACAAGGGCCTGATGGGGGCGGAGTAAAGAGGCGTTGGGAGCTGACTAAATATGGTACCTGACTCTGACGTGTTCTCAGGATTTCTGGCAGAACTTTTCGCCACATCGGTGGAGTACGCGCGATTGGGTTCCCCGTCAACAGCACCTGAGAAATATTTCTAGCCGTATAGTAAGCTATTCACTGTTTCCAGGTTAAAGATATACTTCGTAATTCCACGTCAGTCCTAACCAAAAATCTATTGCCATTCCTAACTACAGGATAGCGTAAAACAAATTAAATCATTCGTGCATTCTGCAGATCATCAAACACTGACTGACCTCTTGTTATTGTTGTTTCTGTTTTTTTCTATTTTCAGGCGGAGTCTGACATGTTGGACCTAATTTCAACTTATCAGCAGTGTCAGGACCTTAAAGTCGACACGAGTCTTGATGACCTAGAAATAAAGGACCTTGAGGAGTTCGAGGACTCTCTTGAATCATGGGACTGTTTAGATGGTCACATGAATGGTCACGTAAACAGTTTGCTAGCCTGATGTGACTGAAGGAGAAATTTGCACCCAATTAAAGTTCGTACTTTTGATTGGCTCATTTTTGTACTTACTAAATAAGGCACATCACGTGACATCTCGTGCCATTTTGAATCTTGCTACTTCCGAGAATCGTTGAATCAAGAGTTCCAAGGCAGCAAATAAAGATGCCAAGAGGTCCACGATCATGCACAATTTTTTGTTTTGTGCTCGTACTGTTTGTTTGAATAACGTAACCGAAACGTTTTTATTGGTTAGTTCCTCAGTCAGTAGTAAGCGGCTAGTGTGCTTTGAGCACGATCAAGGCCAAAAACGAACAAAAAACATACAAGAAAGAACTTGGCCGGGTTTCATAATCATTCCCTTCTATTATTATGATTGTTATGCCTGCGCAAGTTTTCTGCGATAATGTTACGTCCAGCAACAAAAGCGACGTGTTTAAATTTAAAATTTTGTTTTCTTATAAACGTGTTGTAGTTCCTGTGTCCACGCCCTAGGCTTTGTATATCGAGGGACAAAACCGACACCACAGCAAGAAAGGAAGTTACATGACGTTAAACGATGGCAATAAGTTTATACGACGACTTTTGGAATGCTCGTTTTATCCCTTTGACAGGACCATAGAACAAACAACAGAAACAATGTCCTTAGCCCTAAAACAAAAACAGCTGCTAACAAGCAGAAGAATTACAAGCTTACGAGAGCTCCTACACTTCTGCTTATTTCTGATTTGAAAACAGAAATCGAACTGCTCAGCAACTCTGCAGTAGTTCCTTCCATGTTGTGATGCCGGTTCTGCTGGTTAATTGGAAGAATTCAGTCGTCATACTCGCTTGTACTTTAGTTTTAATCAGGTTTTAACAATCGAAAAAGAAAAAGCACATTCAGATTGATCAATTCATTACAACGACTCGAAACGACGCTATAATGTTTTCAATATTTATTCGCAACTAACTCGTCCCCAGTTCTTCTCTTGTGCCGTAAAGGGTGAGAATTGAGGGACTTAGTGAAACTCGTCCGAACAAGGAGGGGATTGTGGGAAGGTAGAGGAGTAGACATGAATGAAGGAGGGAGTCTTCAATCTTTCCTCTTTCCTCTTTCCCATCAGAACTTTCAAGAGACTAGAGGCGTGTCAGTATTAGCAACATTTCGTATCACGGAGCTTCAGGAAGTGAACCGATATCACACTCTCAATATTGACCCTTCCCTCCTTAAAATTCGAAACCTTGGAGCATCAGTAAAGTAATAACAGAGGCCACGGCAAAAGTTTTTCAGAATAAAAGAGTGTTAAGGTTTAAAACCTAATTGTATCGTTGCATTGTCCCCAATGAATTTACGACGAAATTCGTCGTTTTACGCTACCATAGTGGCGCCATTCTTTGGAACAGTCTTCCTTGCGACTTAAGGGAAGCAGAGTCCCTGAGGCAAATTAAACGACGGCCTACTCAAAGGAGATGCCTAAGGCACGGCATTCGTGGAAAGCAGCCTTTTTTATTTAATTATCCCATTATATTAGACATTACACATTAGGAATTAAATAAATTTTAAACCGTGTTTAAATAGAGATTATGAATGTGTGTACCCATCCACCTTTACGTCAGCGATGATCCTCTTTGCTTAGGCAAAAATTTATTTCATTTCAATGATATCAAATCTTTTCACACAAGCCATATAGACACTGAAACCAATCTAAAATATGTGAATTTCTGAATATAAAAATTCGCCCATGCTCATCGAACTAGAAAAGTCAACCTGGTTATGAAGCTTCAGTCAAATTTTATTGCGTGAATGAAGTTCGATTACAAGAGAATGAATGCTGATGCTAAATAGGCAACGATGACAAGGTTCTACATTTATGGTATGACTTTCCCCGATGTTATTTACAGTTTAATGTCTAAAAGATTCCAGTGAAGACAATACACTAGATTTTCTTGGTTCAAGATTTTCTTTCGTGGATTATATGAGGGATATTAGAAAGAGCTATGTCACGAAAACAAAATTGTCTTCCAATCGCAGTAAACATCATATTGTAACAACTCCTCGATGCCAGAGATATCACGATGTCTTGCTCTAAGCCGTTTGAACAACTCGGAGTGGCCGGGGGAGAGGGTGGTCTGATCCAGTCAGGGATCAGACTCTCTCGTTCAATTCTCACTTCGATTTTGAGGCCGTGAACTAAAGATAATCTTCGTCTTCACAATCCGTGACTTGTCCCCTTTAAACCCTTTGAAAAGCAACTAACATGTTCGTAAAACTTAAGCATGCGTATCATGTGGAAAGGAAACTACCGCAAAAGGGAAATTGTGTTGGTATATACGATCAAATTCTCCTAACCCTTGCTTTAGATATGTACAGAGAACTGTAAGGAGAATTTAAGAAGCGAGACACTGAAGGCGAGATGACACCACTGTGTCATATTAGAATTTCTTTCTCGATATTAATTAGGATATGACAAATGTTTCACTTCAAGTTGATAATGGCATCACGTGTCAAAAAAGCGATTCTATATTTTATGCTGCTTCGCCCTCCTCTTCTTCCTCATCAAACTCGCCTTCCTCTTCAGCAGTCGCATCCTGGTATTGCTGATACTCGGAAACAAGATCGTTCATGTTGGATTCAGCCTGTAAAAAAATTGAAGATCATTAACTAAGGTAACACTTCAGTTTCATTCAATTTCCCTTTAGTTTTACGAGCTCTTTAGTGAAGGCGGCGTGGCCGAGTAGTTTAGGGCGTTGGATTTGAAATCTGGAGGTCCTTAGTCCAAATCCGCCTCTCTACCGCTATCTGGATCTGAGTCAGCTTCTGGACCGCGTTGTGTAAATACCTAACTGGTCAGCTCCCACCAGTTGGGATTCTTAATAGATTATGTCCTATTTGAAAAATTTGTTTATTTATTTACTGTGTCCCCAATTAACACAAACGTGCAAATACATTTGACACTTTAATAAAAAGTTATGTATTTGTTTTTTATTTAAATAATAACAATCCGTGTTTAAGCTCGGCGAGAAAAAGATATTACCTCAGTGAATTCCATCTCATCCATGCCCTCACCAGTGTACCAATGCAAGAAAGCCTTTCGCCTGAACATAGCAGTGAACTGCTCACTGATGCGCTTGAAGAGTTCCTGGATGGCAGTGCTGTTGCCAATGAAAGTGGAGGACATCTTCAGACCACGAGGAGGGATGTCACAGACAGCTGTCTTGACATTGTTGGGGATCCATTCCACAAAGTAAGAACTGTTCTTGTTCTGGACATTGAGCATCTGTTCATCGACCTCCTTCATGGACATGCGGCCACGGAACATGGTTGCCACTGTCAGGTAACGTCCATGCCTTGGATCACAGGCAGCCATCATGTTCTTGGCATCAAACATCTGCTGAGTGAGTTCTGGTACTGTCAGGGCGCGGTACTGCTGGGATCCTCTGCTGGTGAGTGGAGCAAAGCCAGGCATGAAGAAGTGGAGACGAGGGAAAGGAACCATGTTCACTGCCAGTTTCCTGAGATCAGCGTTCAGCTGAAAAAATAAGGAGAGTAAAATTATTAACACATTTGATCAATTTTCTTTCATAATCAGATCATATCTTTGTTCTAGCAGTTGTTACTGAAAACCTCAGCCTGAAACCTTTTAATAAAACCTAGTACAGTGCAGAACTCACTCCTCTCATAACAAAATTGATGCATTCAAGATATGCTTCCCCCAAAAGGATTACAAATGCTCAAAAAACAATAGAGATATAGACAAAACAGAAGCAAAGCATCAGCTTAATGAATAGTTTATAATTTTTGTTGCTGAACAAAGTTTCGTACATATTCCAATTCTTGGTTCATTTGGGTTTTGCCTTAAAAATACAGGGGCTGTTAAATTGAAAAGAAAATTACAAGAAATGAACGGATTAATCGCGAATTAGTTTTAGCGGATCATGTCTGGGCTTCATTTTGTTGTTTACTGACGAACTTTTTCTAAACAACGAGCGATAATTAATCAGTTGGGATCTACTCAAGCAGCTGTTATGTCCCGTTGGTTTTAGATTACAGATTGACAATGTACACTGAATTGGGATGAAAACAACCATCACTTTTAGCTACTCAATGCAGGGATGGTTTCAGTTAATGTTCAGAAAAGGTTTTTTTTTTTTGTGTACACATGTTTACACAGACCGCAGTTGAGGAAAGTTAAGCTGTGCTTAACAACGTTTTAGTTTACAGTAGAACGAAACGTTGCCATGAGGACAGACTTTTGTGTGCAGTGCCACTGATTTGTTCTCACGCGTTATTCTAACTGTTTATAGGGCAGATTTCATAGGAAAGTTTCAAAAAACTGAGCGGCAATTATTTTCCTTTATTCTGCCAAACCGATTCTCACTGGCGAAGAATTTGTCACTTGCGTCAATTCAACTCAACTTTTGAACCCAACAATTTGATACGACTCGTAATTCGCTTTCGACATTTTTTTTTT